TTAGAGGAGTTGCTTATTAGATGTAATTTACTAAAAAGCTATCTTGCTCTATTAAAGAATAAAAAAAAAGAATTAGAAAAGGAGATTAGTTTGCCAGAAGCAAGAAGTGGAGACAATACAGATGTTTTAAAATCTGAATACTCTTTAGTTTGCTTCAATATTGCCTGTCTAGATGTAAAATAACTCACTTTAAAAGTGTATATAAATACATTTTATAGTGAAATTGGGAATAGCGGGTCTTCTTTCTTTTTGTAAGCATTAGCAAGCAGTGTAATATCAACTGGTTATCAGAATATCAAGCTTATTACCAATCTTATCAGAAGTAAAAAGTTTGGTGTAAAATATGGGGATACTGATTTATTATACTTTATTTATCCAGAAGAATATTTCTAGGAGTGTGATGAGAAATACATTTCAGAAAAGATATTGAAGAAAAAGTACTAGGAGGAAATAGTGAAAATATCTATAAAGGCAATGAACAAACTCTAAGGTAAGGTTAATAACTTTCTTAGGAAAAATAACAGATCTTCTTATCTCAAAATGGCATATGAGGAAGTCTTATTTCCAGTAGTATTACTGGAAAGAAAAAATACTACAACATCTCACATATAATTAAGTTTAACTTTAATAATCAGCTTTTTATTTGAGGGATTGAGATTATAAAGCGAAAATAGTCTAAATACTTTTGTGAGGTGGGTAAGAAGGTCATAGAAGAATCTATAAGGTTGGATAATGATAATACTTCATATCTTACATCAGATTGTGAAAGACGTGCTTAAAAAGATCATAAATGATATTTTATAGATAGATCTTAATAGAATGGTTAAAACTGCTATATAGAAGCCCGATAAAAATAACAAGAGTGTCTAGCATTTTATTTCACGAATGTGAGATAGACACACTCGTGAAAAAGCAGATGTCAACAGCGCATAAAAAAGGTCTAACATTTGAGTCTTATCTTTATGAAATCTCAAAACTAGGCGAATGCTTTGAGTATATTGTAATTAAAAATGATTTATCATAGAGGGTAGGGGATAAAATGGAATATCCAGAGGTAGTGAGGCGATTAGATAAAAGATCAATATCAGCTATTATCTGAAAACTGTTGTCAGCCTCTGTGCATGATTTATTAACTATGATGAAAGATACCAGCCATCATCTGAAATTGTGTTGGAGGTCTTAAAAAAATTAAAAGATGGTAATAAAGCAGGTGATAATAAAGTAGATGATGATAGGATAGATGAAGATGATCTGGATGAAGACGAAGAGAATGAAAATAAAATGGATGAAGATAAGGTATCAAAAATAAGTGATGCCTTAGCACAGAAATCAGCTAAAAAGTGGATTAAGGATATATCAAAAGCCTACATGAGTTGGCCTAGAAATCACATGCTACTGAACGTTATTGAAATTATAGGATGATAAAAAAGATGATTCATTTGAAGCTGATATAGATGATATTATCGAATTATATAGATAAGTACTTTTAGCAGGATATGGCAATTTTAACTAAGAATACTTAGCTGTTAAAGTGCTTTGTATAATATTATTTACATATTTTTTCTCATGCAATAATACTGGTTAACTTCAATTTCTATCTTTGAATTTTCAGCTTTCAATCATATAATTCAGCCTTGGATATATCCGAAGATGTAAATCGCTAGTCTGAGTGTATCAGTCACTTTTTTTTTTCAGCTTAACACGATCTTAGAAGGATCCGCTCTATATATTCCATATTTTTTCCTAACTAGGATTCATATAATTGCAATTAGTAGTAAAGTAAATATGAAATATATTATTATTAGCGACATCAAAGGTACCGCTTCTGCACTACCTATAGAAATTAATTGATACATTAGATTAAAATTGAAAGATTGCTAGAAGGCACTATATATGATGAATTATTTATAAGCGGGGGTGGAGGATCTACTTCATTATACAAAGCATCTCTTGGCTCTTTCTTTAACGCTAACTGGTCTCTAAGGGACCTATTTTCCTCTATTAATTTTAATTGTTCTGAAGATCAAATATATATTTCCTATTTGAATATGCTATTTAAGAATTTTATTCCTTTTTCCATATATTCTATTATATATTTTTTTGAATTAAGGTTCTCATTCATTCGCTCCAATTCAAGCCTGAGAGAATCAATCTCTTTGGGATCAGATAAATTTATTTAAGCTGGCTCTTTTACCACCTCTTCAATTACATCTAAATTATGATATATGTACTTTAGATTTATGTCTTTCAACTTACCTTTCAATTTTCGTACTTTAGTTTTAAGAGAAAGAATCTGGATCTTATCAGCGAACGAAGCTTTTTGGGTCAAAGTTGTCTTTCTCTTTAGTGTTTTAATATTTGATTTGAGTGATTTGATTTTGACAGAATATTTAGCTTATTCTATTTCATGCTCATGTCGACTTTTAACATGAAACTTCCATTCAAAAGTAATTTAGAATCTAAGTCTAGTATTAGATGTATTTAACTGGCTAATCTTATTTTTAATATCAGCATTGATTTGTTAAAACTTCTTCTCCTGCTCATTGTACTTATCTACCAACTTTCTATTGAGATCTCTAAGTTTGGTTTTAGAACTAAGAGCTCTTGCTCATATGCAATACCAAGCTGATGCTTAGTAGCAGTTGGGTATCACTTTTTTTATTGACATTTCTCAAGGTGTATACATTGCTCATGATCTTTTTTCAACTTGACTGCTACTATAGTAGAAAAAAAATGTGACTGAAATTTCTGAACTGAATATATGTTGAATCTACCAAAAATTTCAGATATACTGAATGCACTGTACATATCAGATATATATCAGATATATTTCAGACACACTGGACATACTAAATGTTTTAAATATACTAAATACACTAAATGCACTGAATATACTGAATATATATCAGATGTACTGAATATATACCAAATGTGTACTGAATATACATATCGAATGTAAATCAAATATTTATTAATAGATTTTTTCTGACTATAAAAAAAATGAATTGCTACTTACGTTTAAATGCAACCCGCTTATCAGAAAAAAATATTCAGGATATTATTAGTGCTAAAAATTCAATGAAGCGAGCATCAAAAGTTATGGCAAATAAATATAAAATATCATCTCAGTGGGTATACCAAATATAAAGAGGAGTTCATCTCCCGATAAATCCTAAAGAGATAGTATTATATTCACTAATAAACCCACTTTTAGATTCTAAAAAGATAGTATCAACAAATGCTGATTTGTTTTATGGAAAAAAAATGGATACCCACAAGTCTTCGAGTATTATTATTCCTAAAAATAAGGCAAAAAAAACTGAAAGAGGAATCCAAAAGCTAAGTCTGTTTATATCTCTGAATCGTCTAATATTATTCTCTTGAAATCTATTTAGACTAAGCTAACTCTGAGAAACTCAGCCAAAGGCATTCAGGGTAAAGGATTACATAGGGAAGAATTAAAAGTATTTTATGAAAAGGGTATTAAGGAAGATAAAAAAAGTAAAGTAGAGACAGCTTACTTATTGGCTACTACCTAATAGCTCATTATAACGAATCTGCAATCTTCTACATATATTATTGAGTTCTGCTTTAGACTTGAGAAAATCGTACAACATTTTTTCAAGTTCTTCATAGCTTATGCGTTTTTTTTAATATGTTCTTCTCACTTAAGTCCTGAAAGTCCTACAAAAATACAGTTCAGGATTAAGGATCTATTATATTCAGAAGTAGTGATTACACAGTTTACTTTGAGCTTATTTTTGACTTTATACATAGTGACAGGAATAATATAATCTTTTTCATTGAAAGGAATTTTGTATTCCAGTCTATTGCGCATCCGTATTTCTTTAAGAGTTAGTTAGAAAATATTAGTATTAGCTTATGATAATCTACAACTAAAAAATCGTTATGAATAGTAAGTCCTAAGGCTAAGGTAATTAGCAAATTGTAGGTAATACCAATAGATTTAATAGGAACATTAACGATATTACTAAAGTCATATTTTTCAGATTTATCAATTTTAACCCTAATGCGATCAACAATATTTTTTGTTATAATTGGAGACTCAGATTCAGAGTCAAGAGTCATGGCTGAAATCTTTAAGTGCTTAATTTTAAACTTTATAATCACAACATTTGTTTTCAGCTCTTTTTTCTGAACAAAATAGATTTTCATAGGATTGTTTAAGGACTCCTCCTTTAGACTAGACTCATCTAAAGATGAATCTTTAGAGGCTGAAAGGATATTGCTTTGAGATACTATCTCTGCTTCTATAGGAGCCACTATTTGTTTGGACATAATAACGCTAGATTTATGGGAAAAACGTTTAAAAAAAATTAATTTAAGCTCATTAGGAGGACTTTATAAATAGTTTCATCTAGTGAAATTTTTCTCAGCATGTCAGTAGACTTCTGCTTCACTTTTTTTTATCTTAAACATATGAACATTAAGACCACTATCAAAATCAGAAGTATTAGAAAAACTTGTATCAGAATCAGAATTATCATTAGATAAAGTATTGTCTGAAGAAGAATCTGAATCTGAATCTGGTTTTATAATGAGATTGACCTTACCTTTCTTTGACTTCTTACTTTTTTTTCTTCTTTACAAAGCACTTATAAGAAGTATGTTTAAATCTACCACACTTGGTACATTTCTTAACAGCACTTCTAACAGCAGATTTGATAGTACTTATTGTAGTTCTATTTATTATTATACCAGCTATACTATTAGTAATATCATTAATAGAATCATAATTATAATCATCATCAGGAGCTATATTATCTTTCTCTCTTAGTATATCACCTAAAAAACATCTAATAATAAGGTTTTCTGCTTTTTTATTAGCTGATTTTTTTACTATTACCTAGAGTCTTAGTTGCTTAAGATATAGTCTTTTGAAAGGATTTAGCTATAGTTTCTTGTAAATTAGTCTTAGTAATATTCTTCTGATCAGAAGAAGACACCGATGATTAATTTGGCACTGATTGCTGTAATACCTAAATTCTACTATTAATAATCCTATCGACATCTTTTGTAGTAATACTCTGCGCTTTTAGTTTTGTCTTAATAGCTGGCTGATTATAAATATCTTCACTCCAGAAGCAAATTATTCCTTTCTGTTTCAATTTCTTCTAATGTTTTAATCAATTCATTATTTAAAGGTCTGTTTAAACCCAGTCACTTCATTTCCAACTTGTTTTTAAGAGATAAATCACATATAAATTATATTCTTTTTTTACGATCAGATATTTGAGCCAGCTAGCATATTTATTTATCTTTTTATAGTAATTTCTAACTGAATCAGATCCTTAAGTCAAAGTACTAAAAATCAATTCCTATTGCTCTCGAACAAACTGTAGGATAATTCCTTTTAAACTAATAGATAACCTGACTAATATTGATATCAGGAAGAACTACTATATTTTGCGGATCACAGTACCCTTCTATGTATAATATCCTACTTAAATTTTTTTTCTGTTTTTTAAAATACCCAGATATTTTAGACAGAGATGTTCAATTTTTAACCTTCAAAATATGTAAAATACCCAGAATATAATATTAGAAAAAATTATAATATCCCAAACAATTTTATTATTACTAAATTATTTATTAATACAAATAAACTATCATAACCAGCTACATCATTAATATCCTTTATAATATACTCTCAAATTTTTTAATATACAATGTTCTTCTTCATTAGTTGATCCTTGGTATTCATCTTCATTTTCTGCTTTACTTTCTTCACATTCTTTTTCATTAATTTTATTATTATTATCATTTTCAATATTCCATTCATTTTCATAATCATTTTCTTCAGAATATACTTTTTTGTTATTATTACTTAAATCATTTAAATTTTATATCTCATCATCATCATTTACCAAACTTAATAATGTATCATAATCAAATAAGCAATCATCTTCTGAGCCATCAATTTTTGTTGAAATTTCATAACATTTAAAGGAATTTCGAATAATATTTTTATCAACTTCATTCCACAATTCTTTAACTCATGTTGCAACTGTTGAATAAGAAGGTTTTTTAATCCTTTCAGCTGGAGTAAGATTATAAATAGTAGATAATATCCAATTATTGTATCAATCTTTAACTTACAAATTATAAATAAATATGAAATACAGTACATATTAAAAATAAATTAAATATGTTTTGCAATTTTACCTTAGATTTAAAGCTTTTATTAATTGCAACATCTAATGGTTACAATTTGGATGTACAATCACCTGGAATTACAATAATATTTGTATTCTTTTTTATCAACTGTTTTTTAACAGGATTTGTTGTACAATCACGAAAAGAATCCAACACTAACATAGAATGTAAATTACCCAAAGGATTTCTTGAGGTCTATACAGTTTCAATCCACTATAACATCTTATTCTCATTCATTCAACCCTTTTTATTAGCTCAAATATAAATACCATGTGGAAAATTTTCTCTTAATACATTTTTCAATTTAAAAATACAAACTGTCAGAAGATTTTTACCATCAGCTATACATGCAAATACAACTGTAAAAGATGAGTGTTCATGTCCAGTTGTACAAATACTAACCCTTTGTGATCAATGGTAGTATTACTTGGTAAATCAAACTATAATGGTGTCTTGTCCATATTACCAATGTATTGTAATGGATAATCATGTTGAATCCTTCTATATAAAATATAACTCAAAAAAATATTTTGTTTTTCAAGCAAATCTGGTGACAATTGTTATGCTACTATTATTCTATAACATTCACAAAGATCATATTTTCTCAAAAAACCATCAAGCCATTTTCTTGAAAATTTGAATTCAATAATATTTGAATTATTTGCTAAAAAATCTCAATCTTTAGATAATGTAATGGTTTTTTTGATAATCAATTTTTGACTAACAGAATTTTGATTTGTTCTTCTTTCACTAACCCATGTAAATAAATCATTTTCTAAACTTAGATATTTAGCAGATTTACCTGAATGAAGTTTAGCAACATGAGGTGCAGTTGCTAATAATTTTCCTTTATTTTTATTTTAATCACACACTTGTTTAGGTTGAATATTAAATTTTTTGACAGGTTTACACTTATTTTTCCCATTATTTTCCAAATAGTGTACTACCATTAATTTTTCTTTTACATTCTATTATCACTGTATCTTTTATGGTAAGCGGTTACATACTTTTTATTTCTTTTATTACTAATAACAATTATTTTTTTATTTTTACAATTTTTTGCATTACAAATAAAAGACAAAAGCGTACAGAATTTATTACACAAAATATAGGGGCAAAACACGATTTGTATGTCCTGAAGAGATATTCAAATAACTGGGTATTATACATGATAAGTATTTGGGATATTTTACAAACCTTATACTAGAATCCCATTTACTATTAAGATAGGTCACCGTAAAATTTTAAGATTTATATATAAATTTTTCTTACTTAAAATTTTCTCTTTACTAATTAATTTACCAATCTTTCAGTTACCTTTTTTAAATTATATGTAATTTTACCTTACAAATTCAGAAACATTAATAATTAAGTAATATTGAAAATTGACTTTATTGTATTTTTTAATTATTAGAAATTAAAAACATTACAAATTATTAGGTAATATAATAAATGTAAATTATATTAATATTTGTTAATTATAAATTGTTTTTAAAATTTCAATTACCTCTTGTTGTTGAAAAAAGAAAAAAATCTTATTATCACTAATATCAAGTGTAAGCATCTTATAATTAGCGTTGTTAAAAGATAATGCCTTATCAAGATAATAAACAACATTTTTAAAGGATAAATGGATAAATAGGTTATCACAGTATTATTATGAGACATTGATAGGACACTGATGGGATGCTGATGGGACATAGATGGGACAGATAGGACCTTTAGAACATAGTGTGAAACAGGTTGGAACATATAGCTGAAACATATAACTGGGATAACAAATCTCTGAGACATCAAAAATGTACATCATTGGTTACCACCTATAGGTGATTGACATGTAAAGTAACTTCCAGATAAATGATAATAAAGAATAACAAAAATAAATGAAAGAGAATCCACTGAATTTATACCATAACGTACATAAGAATGCTGATCATTAATTTTTTAATATTTAGCAAGAATCTGATCAACACAAAGTTTTTTGCCTATATATATAATAACTAGTCTATAATCTTTCAATTAATATTCTTCAGATACACCAGCATCTCCAAGATGTTGAACTATTGTAAAAAATATAATTAATACTAATTTTAAATAGAAAAAATAATAGCATATATAATTACCTGGAATTATTCTAGAGATATTAATATTTTTTACATGTTTTCTTATTTTCTAGCGTTTAAATTTTAGTCAGCTTTTAACATAAAAATCATTTTCTTGAAGGCTATTTACAAATTTATTTGCGGCATTTCTTTCAATTCTGTTTTGTAAATCTTCATCCAAATTAAAAGTTAATCTATTTTGAATTCTACATAAATGATCAGCTCTTGAAAATGCATTATGAGATTTATGAATAGTTAATGCTTTTAATACATCCAGTTCATCATTATTATTGAATAATAGCTCCTCAGGTTCAGCCAAAATTGATGGTATTGTTGCACTTCTTTGGTGATTTAAAAGGTAGATAATTTCATTAGAATTGATTTTGCTAAGATTATCCCTCTGATCACTTGATCTAGATGTACATGATTCTGAATCTTTATTTAAGCTACCTAATTCATCGTATTTACTAAAGATACTATCATTATTAACATTATTAACAAAAGAACAAAGTTCTTCATATTAATTAATAAATGCTGTCTGAGCTACTTCTTTTACTACATTACGTAATTGATCATTTTTAGAAATTAATGGATTAAAATTAATTGCAGGATTTATTTCTGTATATTCCTGTTCAGCCTCCAAATGAGAATTGTCAATATATACAAAAGGATATAGACTTGTTTCAGATTTTGATAAAGCAACTAATCATGTAAATTTTTTTGCATTCAAGTAGGCAATTTGAATGATACCATAAATTTCATCTTGCGTTAGTCATTAGCGTAAAAGTTCAAGTACTTCAGCATTCATGTCATTTAAATCAAAATAAAAATATACCCTGAACAATTAACATTATAACTCAGCTAGTCAAAAAGATAATATCAAAAATTCAAAATGATTATTAAAATAAATTGAACTAACCTGTTGCTGAAACTTTTTCTTTTTTCATTTCAAAATCACTAGTTTAAAGAATTTTGTCACGATGCATAACCCATCTGAGAATTTTAAAAAATTCATAAGCAGTAAAATTTGGCACTAATTGACATGCAAGCCCAAATATATATTTCAAAGTTTCTGTTCAGTGCTATCATGATAGCAGTGGATAATCTTCATAATAATCATGATGTAAAATAATTAACAAGATTAAGGATTTAGAGAGACTTTTAAAAATACGATAATTTTGGATCGAAATAAAATTTGAGCTACCAAATATCATTCTTTAGAAGTGTTTTCACCAGTCTTTTCGATATGAGACTTCCAAAAGTCAAGAAAGAAATAAGCACACATAGCCATAATTATTCTAGTTTTGTGACTAATCTTACGATTCAAATAAACATCAAAAAGTTCGCCTATAAAGAATATAATATTTTAGTTAAGCTCATTTTAAAATAAGATTTTTAATCATCTTACCTAAAATAAACAGATATACAAATAGGCTGAGTTTGTCTAAATTGATTACTTCATTATCTTGACATATTTTGAACAATTGTGAATGAAATATGTGAAACGTCACACTATTATTCTGTTTATCAACATTGCAAATATTACGAATACAAAGCATAGAATATTCCTTTTTTGCAAGATTGCAGAGTTGATTGTAATGAACTGTACTGTTTTCAAATGTGAGTAATCATGTTTCATAATGAATCTGATTCCTAGCTATTTTTTTGCGTGTTTCATATTTTACATATGTATGATTAGTCAATTGTCAAAGACTGGTGCTTTAAAATTAATTCTATAAAGGGGTGCTTTAAATTTGAAAACTCCATTTGCTGAGGAATATTCCATTACCATTTACTGTACTTTTATTTCTGTGATTGCACCATTTGCTTCAAAACTTACAAGATTAATATTGCAATATGCTGTCATTTCTATAATTATAAGCAAATGATTACTTATTTCCTTTACTGTTACATCACCTTTAGTAGGCAATGCTGTGATTATAACTGGTGAAATCTTAAATATTGGTATCTAGAATGTTTTATGAAATTTCAACTTTGATAACATATTTTGATTTATTGATAATAATAATACAGAGGATGGATAAAAGTTTCTAGACACCTTTATAAATGCGATTTAAAAAATTTTCGTCATATAATTATGATATCATACTGCAATCATATGACCATCTATTATTTATTTATATAATCAAAATAAAAAAATTTGTGTTTTTTTTATTGTTTTGATTAAATTCACTTAATCTTTACAAAATCAAAAAATAATAGGACAAAATAAAGAATTAATCAAAGAACAATGCGGAGTCATATTTTACTTAGTTAGCTTAAAGTCCTAATATTAATCCAATTGAAAATTTATGGGCTGATATTAAAAAAAACATTTGTGCATATTTAAAAATCACTATTGAATCTTGCTGACTTCAACCGATATGTTAAAAAAGTATGGCGAGAAATTCTAAAGCATACTATTAAAAATTTAGTCAATAGTATACCATAGTGAATTCAGGCTGTGATTGCAGCAAAGGGAGGCCCAACTAAGTACTAAAAGTTTAATACAAAATGTATGCCTTAACCAGCTCTAAATAAAATAATATTAGAACTTTTACTATTAATGCTAAGGAATTATAAGTTTTATATTTGGTGAAAAAATGTTTGGAAACTTTATCCTCCCTCTGTAAAAAACAAACCTTAAGCAAAAAAATATGAATTTGAGTAGCAACAGCATCTTGTTCTTTGATTTTTTTCATTGTTTGATGAATATCATCATATGTTTCACATTTCGTCTGATTGGTTGGTAAAATGGAATCTATTATACTATCAAACTCTTATGAATAGACTACCTTTGATCATAATTTTGTACAGTTTATCATAAAAACTACTGGTTCTTTCTATTGCAGTTCATTGGTAACCTTTGCAAACTGAGCAATATTTTCAAAGGATATTTCAGGATTCATTAAAATATCCTGATCTTTACTATAAAACCGTCTGAAAATTAAAAGATTAACCTATTTATTATACTAATATATTATTAAAGTTTGTAATTATAATAATATCTTGCCTGATTGAAGATAAACTTACACTAGCTAATGCTTGTTTAAATATTTCGTACATGCGAGATTTTTCAGAAATTAGGCTAAAAAATTGAAATAAATTTTCATTATACCGAATTCCAGTTTTATGCTTTTCTGCTATTTTAAATTCTTTTATTTGTATTATTAAACATGTTAATTCCTCAAAAGTCTTATTAGTAGTAAAAGCTCCATTTCTTTTGAGTTCAGCCAGTTGAAGCCAAATTTCAGTTTTATCAGAATTTGTAGATATCTGATACAATTTTCTCAAATTTTAGTTTTTAAGCATTTTAACAAATCCAACATCAAAATAACTATTTAGAATATATTTAGCTGTAGTACTAGTATGTTATTTCTGAAATATAATGAAATAAATAATTAATGTATTTAATATTTATATAAATATATTAACAAATGATATTATAGATATTTATCACATTGATAGCATCTTTAAGTCAGAGGTTAACTGTAAAAGCTAAACAATCATTATAAATACCAGATTCATTTGTAGTAAAATTTGAATATTTGATACTAAATATAGCAATCAGATCCTTATCGATTTTTCACTGATAGTAAGCAAATAAATTTCTTTTAAGAATTGTTTTTTAATCATCATTTAAACACGCCATAAATAATTTTTTTGATTTGAAAATTTTTTTGAAAATAATTCATATGCAACGATATCAGGTCATCAGCCACCACCATATTGTGAAGGACTTAAAAGAAAATAATTGTGATACTTTTCATCTGTTAAACCTAAACAAGCAATACTAACACATGGTAATTCACTTAGTCTTTATTCTTTTAACTTTTGATTTTTCCAAAAAGAAATTAAAATTAGTTGTTTTGTAGCTGTAAAATTGCACAAACTACTTTTTGAGTGACTATTTAGATTATAAGTATGATAAGATTTATCAAGTTTAACCTCTTTATTACATATGCATTGTATAGTTGTTTTATTAATAACTTCCAAAAAATGTGTGTATTCTTTTAATTTTTTGTAATATTTCAATTCATCACAATTTTTAAAAATAATATCATCAAGTGTATAAACTATTTTAGGTTTTTTTATTACTGGTTTATTTGCAGTATATTTTTTATGTTTTTTAAACTTTTTTATTTTTGTTTTATTTACATAAATAATTTACAACTTTGCATGTAAATAAAAATATTTAAATAAACATTGTTAAATAATTTACCTAATTAATCATATGAATATTTTAAGCTTTACCTTATAAATAAATATAACATCTTTAAAGAATATATAGATTTTACCTTATTAATTATAAGTTATATTTTAAAAAAATGCTTTCATTTTATCATATATTATCAGTTACATAAAAAAAATTTACCACAAAATTTTAGTTATATTTTTTAATATTAAGTAAATTTATCTTATAAATTCAACCAGTTTTTTTGATTATTCTATATAATTTTTACCTTAGGCTTGTGGGTAACCTCTATTAAAGTAAGCAGAATCCTCTTGTACTCTCTTATACACAGTACCTGTACTGTATCTCCCCTTATAATGTATTCTAGGTATAGCCTCCAACTCCTCTTAATATGTATCATATCTGAGGTACTATGGCCCCCGCAATACAGTATATGGTTATTATTATTTAAAACTCCATTTGGTGCATTAGTTGCTGTATCAGCGTCTACATGATACCCTCTAGTAAGAGACCAATCCTCATCTATATGAACATTATGTACTAGAATAACTGTGATACTAGTAGCTTTAACTGGTAATGTTGGTAATAGTATACCATCTGATGCATTAATAATAGTAGCCGTTATATTAGCATTATTTAAGGCTACTATAGTAGCTATATTTGCTAAAGCATTCTCATATCTTACATGATTCAATCGACATTTTTTACCTATAAGTTTATTTTTAACCTAACGTAAAGTTTCATCTGTCAAGCATGACTGAAATAGTTCTAAAGCTCTCTGTTTACCACCTACATTAGCAGTAGTGATGTTGACTACTGTAAGATAAATTCTGTAATCTTTTATAAATTCATCTATATCTTCATCTGCTTTACCTGAGAATCTTTTAGATGCATACTCTACCATTCCTATATGTGAAAGTTTATTTTGTAATGCAAATATTTGTGCCTGCAAATTTAAAATATTCTGACATTCTGCTTGAGTCTTATTTTTCCATTTTTCATATCGCTCATAAAGCCTGTCTCGATTATATTCTAATAGACCTATATCTTCTCTACAATATTATAGATAGTGAGCATTATGCTAATATAATAATTGTAAGGCAAATTTTTCTTGTACCAGTTTACTTATATGAGTTTACTTTCTTGTTATATTACTTATTATTCTATTTACCTAGTTTTGAGCATTAATTTGATATTGATAAAGATCATCAACAATCTTATCCATTGCTCATTTAGCAAGTTACTTTTAAATGATTTTATTGTTATGCTCAGCCTCTGCATTATAATGCCTTCTTTACTCACAGGCTAAATCCTGATGTAAATTATTTTTTTTCGACAAATTTGTCTTGTTGCTCTTTTTATTTAATTTATCAAAATATCTCTAGCTGTTATCCTATTATTCACATAGCTATCTATAGCATTTGCTAGCTCTATGATGGTAGCCATTTCTAAGTTAATATTAGGATTATACAAGTCTGGAGAATTCTCTCATTCTGGAAAATTTTCTGTGATGAGATAGTTTTGATCTGATATTGCAATTTTTTCACTTGCTCTTTAGACTCTTTCTAAAGTATAAATATATTTTTCTCTATTTCACATCCTTCTTGGCTTGATATAACTGAGATTTTAGAATAAAAATTTCAGATTTCAGTTCTGATATTTCTTCTTCTAAAGCATTCTCAAGATACTCTATTTCCCTATTAAGATTTTGAATTTCTTACTCACAACGGGTATATTCACGTTCTAGCTCTCTGATTTGCTTTTCATTCTAATGATTACTATTGTTACACGAAAGAAGACATGGATGATGATGATCTAAAGGATGACGTCGATTCCTAAGAAATCATATATGTCTTCTATGTCATCTATATCGTCTATAACATATATTTCTTTTATATGATATATTTCTTTTATTTATTTTATATTATTTATCTTATATAATCATTATATTTTATTTATTTTATATATCTTATTTATTATATTTATATCTTCGATAACTTTATATTTTTCATTTTATATAAATAGAGAACAATTTCCTTTAGCTTAGCAGTGTGTCTGATTTATAGTTTTATATAATAGTTTAGTTTAATCCCTCTAACATAATTGTATAGTACAGAGCGCCGACTGAGGCAGTACTTCATTGTTATAATTATTAAATAAACTGTTAACTTACTGACACTCGTCTAAATCTAAATATTAAATTAAACCTTTTGCTTACCACCCATATACATTGCTTCGCTTATCACTTATAAGCATCTTAAAGAACTGACCGTAATACTATTAACTTCTGTCTACAATTCACTATGAAGATGGAAGTTTTCCTTTTCTAGTTCAACTTTATGTTCTTTACATGTTCTTCTCTGCCTTAGGTAAGGTTTGCGAAATGCCATTCTTTTTTGATACTATAAAAAGAGAAACAGAATGAGCCAACTGCAAATTGTAATAGATCTAAATGAGGCTCAAAGTATTGAAAAAATATTATATTACGTAAAATATATTATTGTCTGACTAGTTATCATTCTAACCCTAAATCTTTGAAAAATACATGTAAAAAAGAGGAGCATCAATTCTGCCTAAGTGAATGCAAAGATTTTTTAAAAAATCAAGAGTCATACTAGACTAATAAAACCTCTCTAAATATATCCCTAGAGTCAGCTATGGGTGAATAACATATTCTAACTGTATACACCAATGCGATATACTATTTCTCACTTATGATTATTATAAAGATAAAAAATATAAAGCAGTACTTAATATTATAGACTGCACTTCTGATATAAAGCTTCTGTTTTACTCACATCGAAGAATAGCTCAGAAGTTGCTAAAATATTTAGAAAGATATATGGTACTTAAAATAATCTATTGGCTTAGCCAAAGCTTTTGCAATGTGATGAAGGTTGTAAATTTATAGGCGAAACCTCCTGACTAATGTAAAAGTATAATGTTACAATTTGAGTGATCAGTCTATATTTCCATTGAGATCTTATATTTATGAAGCGTTTCAATCAAACACTTTCAAAGATTATATACAAAATCTAGTATGCTATTGAATCAATATCTTTTGATCCTAAACTAATAAGAGCATGGGTTAGATTTCTACCGGTAATTATTAATTATTTAAATAACTATCCTACGCATCTTATTTGAGAACCAGAATTAGAAAAATAAGAACTTGAACCTGTAAAAGCAATTGCTTTAGAATGAGTTGAATCTAGATCATCTACAAAATATAAGCATCCAGTTGAAAAGGATGAAATAACATTAAAAAAAGGTAATACTGTCTGCTACTTACTTGCTAATGTGGAATGGGAAGGAGGTATAAAAAATCAAAGGTAGGCAACTGATCCCACTTTTAGTCTAAGTCTTTATAAAATCTGAAAAGTGGTTATTATAAAAAATGAACCAGTTTTATATTATCTCAAAAGTGATGAATATATACTAAAGCGAGGATTTATGTGAGAAAAACTAATATTAATAGCTGATTCAGAAAAAGTTAGATATCTGCCCTAAAGCATATTATCTATGTATGTTACTTATAGTTTCCAAAGGGAACTAGATCAAGCTATTGATTATGTTAGAAGACATAGTGTACAATGTTTAGAAAGGACTGGATGAATAAATGGTTATGGTATATATCTTTGATTTTGTGAGAATAATGTATATCAATGGAAGCAGTGTTGTTATAAGATATTAATAGGACACTGATAGAACAGATAGGACATTTAGAACATAGTATAAGACAGATTAGGACATATAGCTGAGACAATAAATCTCTAGAACATCAAAAATGTACATCACTGAATAGGAGTATCTGTTAAAATATATCATGAAAAAATTCGAATGGTATCCACTATATTATTACATTAGAGAAAGAAATTGCTGATATATTTTTGAGGATCTTTTAGGTAAGAAATTCTTACCATGTAGGCCTAATTTTTTGAATGGAATGCATCTCGATAAGTATAATAAGGAATTGCATCTTGTATTCGAATATTAGGAATCCTAATACTATTGTCACAATAGTCTATACTATTAGGAGAATAAAACTTTAGAAACACAAAGACAGTATGATCAGAAGAAATGGGATACTTACAAGAATCAAGAAATATATTTCATTGAAGTTCCCTATACAGCTGATCTCTTGTCTTTTATCAGATATACTCTAATTGAGAAAGGATTCTTAAGTAATTCTTTAAGTTAGATTAGAAAAAATTATCTTTTTGGTATTTTTCTGAGACTGCGCAGTTCCACAAATTTGCAAGATTAGTTTAGAATATCATTAGTAATAGTTTAACATAAAAATAAAAAAGCTTGAACCAATTAATAGGCTTGTATATCATATTAATGAGATTAAAGATGCCAAAAAATATAACGAATATTCAAGTATTTTCCAATGACCTTTTACTTTACTGATCTGTAATCGTATTAATTCAGAAAAAACTAATGAGATTCTCAATTTTATGTTTAGAAATAAGCTTTATCGAATGTTTAATGAGAAGAAAAGAGAGAAGTACTATATTAAGTATGATGATTTGCTACTTATCAGCCTACAATCTTAAGAAGCTGAATATATGTATCTCAAATCGGTGTATCAGATAATTACAAATAGTCTAAAGTTCTATTGTGAAAATATTACATTCTAAGCTTTGAAGTCTGATAAAATCTCTAAGGTGAATTCATTTTCTTTAGATAGAAGTACGGTATTCATATTTGAAGATATATACACTGACTCAAATAAAGTGCAAGAGAAGATCATCTCTTATTTTATTAAGGGACGTCACTATAATGTCATTTCGATATATATATTTCAGAGCTACTTTAATTGCCCAAAGATAATACGAAAAATTTACATACATATCTGCCTATTTAATAGGTCTTGCATTACAGACGAGCTAGTCAAAATTGTACGTTAATATACTAATATAGTCAGGGATTTTACCAAAAATAGATGATATTGATCATTCCTTTTATAGTATAAAAATGTCAATCAGAAAGTTCTAGACTATTCTAAAATTTATTATATAATTTTATATATATGCTTAAACCTCTTTTTATAATAAATTTTTTTATAACTTTATATAAATTAAATTTATAAGATATCTTGACAATGTAAAGAAATATATATCACAAAAAAAAACCTTTTATATTTATTAAAATTATTACAAAAAGTAATAAAAAAGAACATATATTTATTTACTTTATATTTTTAATTTCACATATGCGATTTATATACGCTTATCAATTGAATTAATTTTATTCTTTTGTGTTATCAAATAATCACTATTATCATGTTCATTATCCAAATTAAATAAAATCCTTACCTCTTTTAATATAATTAACAATTCATTACGCTTCTTAGATTTTATTCTAAAATACATTTTTTGAACACTTTTACTCATTTGTTTAAGAAAAGCTTCAATCTTACAAATGATTTCTGCTTTAGTTATATTTTCTTTAGCATTTTGTATGACTTTTTCTTATTTAGTAATCAGAATTGGCCTAAAAAAAGAATTTGAACTATTATTATAAAAGACTTTAGTAATAAATTCCTTTCAAACTTACTTTACTAAACTAGTAAATTTTATCATCTGTTCACTTAATTTATATTCTTTTTCCAAGCTTTTACAAATAATTCTTGATTCTATAGGATTAACAAAATTATCTTTTCTTAAACAAATTCTAAATCTTTGACATTTTGTAATTAGTTCTGATCAGATTCTTAGATCACTCGTTTGAATATCATTATATTCAATTGACTTAAAAGTTATTTTGTAACTAAATGTTTAATTAAATAATAAATAATTATAAACTTAAGTTATTAAATTCAAATATAATAAATTACCTGAAGGAATTTTTTACAATTCTGTGCAGCTATTTTTCAATGACATATTTGTGGAATTAGAG